TACAATACATTAGTGCAGTTAAAATAGAATCAAGACTTGATTTTAAGCTTAGCTTGTGCAAAAGTGCAAAATTTAAAGCAACAAACATGCAGATAATCAAGTAAGGCGTATGAATTCAGCAAATGACACGTACTATTAGTAGAAAGACACGTATTTAAATCAAGCAACCAGACATATATCAAGATTTATAATCCATAGCTGTAAATAAAATATTTTCATTTCCATGCAAGATAAATTCTAATAGGAAGCATTTAAATCTTTTTCAATATAACAAATTACAATCATACCACGGTTGCATTGTTAACTTATCGAAGAGATGCCAGACAAAGTTCGTGTGAATACCTCACAATATTCGTCAAAATGCTATATCTGGCGAGATATGCTGTTACTTATTGCTTTAATGATGCTAATAACTAATGAAAAAATCACCAATTTCCAATTACAGAACGAATTTTATCATGTTTGATCTTTTGGAAAACAAATTTAATTAAACTATGGATCTAATGAATAACTGTTGTTACCGCCATGTCACCAGGAAACGCTTGAATGTGTTTCAATAAAATTAAGCGAATGTGTTAGCATAGATGTACACATGTGAATAATACTTATACGGTGTTATTCTATTGAGTTCATCATTAATTGTAATCAGAGATCGTTCTCGCTTTATCTTGGAAACTTTGGAACATCATTTTATAACATTTTTTCTAATAAGTTTAACTTGTAAGAGCATTATTAATTCACAAGTAGAAAGAAAAGATACAAATCATACAAGTGAGAGGTTTAGCTAGCTATAAAACCAGATTTAATCCACCATTTTCTACATAAGGAAATGCCTATACCAAGGAATATGACAGTTGTTTGCCATTCGTTTGATGTGTTTGAGCTTTTGATTTTGCCATTTGGTAAAGGACGTTCCGTTTTGTATTTGCCTTGGAGTTCAGTATTTTTGTTATTTTACTTTATACAAATCATCATGACATGTTTTGAGATAATATCTCTCAATCTTTACGCTCAATCTGGTTAATTGTAGTTTGGTTTGCACTCGGTTTTCCTTTCAGAAATAACAAAAAGCATTAGAAACTAGCTTGCTATGCGGATTATTTTTGTTCATTGTTGAAGGCCGTAGGGTGACTATAGTCGCTAACGTTTACGTCATTTGGTCTCTGTTGGAGATTCGTCTCATTTGCATTATAAACGAGAAAACCAACGACCTGATTCATGACAAATCAATAAACGAAAATACAACTGAATAAGAAAGAAAGCAACCAACGACTACCACTGAACTACACGGCTTCTTCCTGTCCCAGGGACAGGTATATGTTAATGAGCGATCAACCCACCTCTAACCTGGGACAGTGGTGTCTCAATCATTGCTCTATACTAACGGAATAATAGACAACACAAAGCAAAACAATAATATCCAATACCATTTCAAACAATGTTCACATTTACTGAAAACGAGTTCAAAGCACTTAACCTAATTATACGAAACCATACTGTTATTCACCAAATGTTTATATTTTTGATATTGCACTAAAATTAGAATTTCCTCGGCTTTTCATAGCGGGTTTATACAAAACTCCTTAACAATTGACTTGTTAGTATGGAACGCCACAGCTGTCTTATGTGGTACTCTGATATTACGTTATGTTGTATTATACTTTACTTAATGATATTTTGTCTTTACATAATATGGATTTGACATTACGTAATGATGCTTTAATATTACTCAATATGGAATAGTCATTACTTAATGATATTTCGATATTACATGATATGGTTTCGTATGGACTTGATATGGCTTCCGAAAAAAAAGGGTTAAGGGGTATGCGTACCAAAGACAAACAATGTTACAGTATACAAAATACCACATAGAAATCGAAATAAAGTTAGATGTGGTGTGATTGCCAATAAGACATCTATCCACCAGATCTTTAATGCAGTGGATGTAAGCAATTATAGGCACCCGTAACTAATAACTAAAGAACATACGAAAAACAAATATGACACACATGAAACAAAGACAACCATTGAATTACAGGCTCCTGACTTGGGACAGGCACATAAAGAATGTGCACGTGGCGGAGTTAAACATGTCTGTGAGCGCTAAACCCTAACCCTACCATGGGTGAATAGCGTAACAACACAACACAAGAATAAACTGTAAAAATCAGATGTACTTGGCTTAACTCTATAGATCGGTATGACTGGGTAATATAAATCCATCAAAATCCTGGGGTGATCTCGGGTGCTCCGGAAGAGTAAGCAGATCCTGCACAACGTGTGGCACCCGTCGTGTTATTCGTGAAAGTACAAACTCAGTGATTTGGTCTAATTCGGTAGGTCACATTCGAGGAAAAGAATACGGGATTGTGTTTACGACAACTGGAACATATCCGTCGTCACCTGTGAAACAAATATTCCAAAAAGTTTAGTTTTTTTTTCAATTTAGTGCGAGGTATATCAGAGAAGGAAGTTATAAAAATTTATATTAAAAGATTGATATTCGTATATGTTCAAATGATAATACATGCTAAAAAAAATCGGAGAATTCTTATTTTATAGATTCCCTGTAACTTTAGTGTGAGTTGATTTAAAGTGTCTTGTTTGTTGACAATAAAGTACAAGTCATTTGATGTGTGTCCAGCCTGCGATATTAAAATGTCGCGGAAGTGAGACACAACAAACCTATATTCCGTCGGCGGCGTCTTCATCATTTAGATCGTTAGGTTACTCGTTTGAATTGTTTTTACATTTGTCATTTCTGGACCTGTTATAGCTTACTATGCGGTATGAGTTTTGCTCATTGTTGAAGACCATACAGTGACATATAGTTGTTAACTGCTACGTCATTTGGTAAGTTGTGGAGAGTTGTCTCATTGGCAATCATACCACATCTTCTTGTTTTTTCTAAAGTTTTATTTGCATTAAATATTACCAAATTAAACTATTTTGTCATGATAAATTTGTAAACCTCCATGAATTGTTATAAAACTTGTATAGGAGTTAATCTTCTATATCGAGATCAAGCATGTACAGAAAAACAATTTTTTTAATTTTGTTTTTTACCGATAAATGGACGTTTTACAGTCAACATTACACTTTTACAATGACAGCAGCAATCTCAGGCGAGACACAGGGTTCCGTGGAATTCTTCACGAATTTATTGTAATACTGCTTCCATTTGATAACTATGGGGAAAAACGGCAGGACCAAGTGGTTTGGGGATATCCCCCTTATGTCCGAAATATTGATATTTTGTTTGGTACTTTTTTTCTTATTTTTGTCTGCCGTTCCCCTTTTTCATACCAAATAACTCTGAACAACAACTCGAACTTTAATTTGAACTTTAACTCAATGGATAGCGACACTCATCCGAAGCACATTAACAAACGACATATGGAAATCGGTATAAAAATAGAACTATTTTTTTCCAAAATGGTCACGTGGCTTTACCTCATCAAGTAATGTGATAACCACAGCAGTCCAACAGTGCAGTAAAAAAACCAAACGATTCGGTAATTAACCGCATAATATCTCTTTCCTTTTTTTTCTTTTTTCTTTTTTTCTCTTCTCTTCATCTGTTGTTATTGATTTCTTTCGTTTTCGTCCATTTCTTTTATATTTCTTTCTTCAATCATATCATATACCATTTTATTCTTTGATAGAATAAAGTTATTTGGTTTAACACAGTCATGTGACTGAAAAAAACCCAATTCAAACGTTTTAACAAAACTAGATAGTCAAGGATAGCAACTCTATTATTGTACTCTAAATATGACGCTACTTTACTACGAATAATCCTTATTTATTATATTCATATTTGTAAAGCGCAAGCTTTCCCAAAATAAAAACAAAAGATTATTATCTTATTCTTAACAAATCGTCATTAGAGGAACAACATTGGCTTAACAGTGACTGAATACAACCTAACAGCAGTGTAAATCAAGTCAATCAACTGGGCATTAACCTAAGATAATTTTATTTTATAATAAAAATGTAATTAAGGAGCTACCATTTGATTTAAAAAAAAAGGCAGGACAGAGATTACAACTAAAAAAAAATGCAGGACAAAATTGTTCATCCTAGCCCCCCACCCCCATAAAAATCAAATGGTAGCTCCCTAAGAATAGTTTTTTTATTAACGTCCAATGCCAATTAAATATTGCAATTTACATATTGCATTTTGACATTTAAGAAAATGCCCGCATGCACTTCCCATTTTTTAAGTGTTCAGAATACCTGGCCGGATTGTGTGTATAAGAAAAAATCAGATCAAAACAAACATTTCATAAGTTGTTTTCTTCTATTTGTCAATAATAAGTAGCGAAAAATCTTTATGTTGCATTTTTGGTAGACGTTTTAAATCCTTGGTCAATTAGTACGCTCGGTAGAAACCCATCGTGAGATAGCTTTCATCCGGCTGACTTTGCTGGACGTATACCAAAAATGCATCTTGTATTTGCTGATCATTATTATTCCATAAAAAGAAGAGCCAGTACAGTCATGTATTCATAATATGTACACTAACAAATACCAATATAACGTGAAATTCAAAATATAAAATACAAAATCATTGTACTTTCTCTCTGTCTCTTTAAAATAGAAAAGTATTAACTTTGATAGTCCAAGCAAACAAGGATAATAAAGCATCCAATAATCTTACTGGATAATCATAATGAAATTGATATTACGATTTATAAGAATAAATTTCATGAATTATTAAATACGTATTTTAATGGTTGACAAATTCATTCTTCCAATAATTTATTTTGGATTACAAAGGAAATTGTAAAAAAATATTTTAATTTCAATGAATTATCAAGACAATTCCATTTCATGGTTAGGGAATTCATCTAGCTTTCGATTCCATTACTGTCATTACGGTATGAAATACAAGCAGTCGATCAAAGCAAAATTTATATATACATTACCTATTCCAAACGCATTATTATTTTATAGATTTTGAAACTGGAAAAATCAATTCATAATTTCAGCTAGGAGGTTGACAATTTAAAATATTCATGCAAATCCATTAAATTAGAAAGTATAAAGTTGTCAATACCGATTTAATTTACGTACAAAGTGTTGTCATGGAATGTTAAAGAAGATGTGTGACGGAATAATTTATTTTTTTCAATCATTCTAGGATGGATTATTTTTTACTTTTGAACAGAAAATAAGCAAAATGATAGCGCATTTTTGGATATTAGGTAAGTATAAATGTCATAATCATATAATGGGGGGACCTGGTAAACATTTAATTTAGAACAACAGTCAGAGGATTATTTTCATACTCTTTAAAGGTGTCGATGATTTTTAGACCTTAAAGGATTGCTGGTTTGAAAAAAATAAATTTTTAAGCTGTTATTTTATGAAAATAGGATTGAAAGAATTGAATAAATGTTTGTTAAATGCATCGTAAAGCTCTTTTCATAAGAGTAGAATTTTCGAAAAATATAATTGGCGGCGATGTTGACGATGACAGTACGTCTAATTAAGTGCAAAAAAATAAAATTCAGACATGTATAATATCCGCCATAAACGAAATATTACTATGGGATATCCATGATATTACATTAAACACTAATGTATTGTAACAGCAGGATATTATAGAGGATTAACACATTTTTTGTAGTTGCCAATAAACTGGTTGAAAATATAATTTGACATTGCTAACAAAGTTTATCCTAATTTACGTTTAATTGAATTTTCCAGAAACACTTGTGTTATGGACACATATCGGAATCCGTTTTTAACGCCACTCTTGTCTTTCAAAAGTAAAGAAGAAAAGAGAGGAATTTAAAAACCAAAATAACAAAAAATTGAAACACATAGTAAATTCTAGTCTAAAACATTTCTCAATCTGTAAAACGACATAAATGTTTTCAAGAATTTTTCTTCAAAACTTAATATCGGCATTGAATGAAATTTTCCATGACATTAGTATCAGTCTGGTACTTCCTATGATGCTCGAAACAAAGATATGGCATACATAATTTGGAGAAAAGGGTAAAATATACTCGCTATTAGAGTAATGAAAGCGAGCCAACAAAAGGAGGTGAACTGATACTTCTTGTTTAAATCCTTTCTAGTACACAGTTACACCTTTTTACAATGTTGTTTTATGAAAGTATATAATCAAAAGAGAGGCGAAAGATACCAAAGAGATATTCTTTAATACATAAATTGTTCATGAAACATGAAATGTAATAACATAAGAGATAAAAAGGATATTTCGGATTTTGGAAATAAAAATACCATGGGTCAATAGAAATCACAATTATATTTTAACAATACAACTTATTCTAAATTACGACATCATTGTATACGTTATAATGTAAGTTATACCAATGGAGCCCGACAATGTCATTTGATAAAAAAAAAACAGTTTTTCATTCCCTTGAAACATTTTCCGTTTCATTAAAATATATTTCGTCAAAAGAAGTTTTATAAAATCGTTGATCAGTTTGTCCCCTCGAAATAGTTTGCAGTTATTATCCCAATGCTCGCAAAAAAAATTGTAGTTAATTGATTAACGGAATTAAATTATCTGCGCTTGCTCGACACTGATAAAATAAAATCGTACAATCTCTGGAGAAAGGCGATTGCAATGTTGCCTATGGTTTAACTATAATACTTCGATCAAACCAACAATTAATCCATATTTTAAATATCTTAGTCTTTATTGGAGCGCCTTATATCTCTCTCTATATTCTAATTATGTTTTGGTCGACACGAATCCGACTAATAGCGATTTGCGCGTTAAATTTATGATAAGGATAAGTCCCGTGACAGGGGTAAATCTCGCATCTGGTTTGTTGCTTGCAAAACAACTGTTTTGCTAATGGAACTAAAAAGGAAAACAATTTCTTCACAATAATCCAAAATTTGAACCCCTTGTATGATGCATACACATTTGAAATGTTGGGATTTTATGTATTTACACGGTTTAGGTGGGACCAGATTGAGCGCAAGAAAAGTTGCAATCAGCACCCTCTTGAGGACGTAAGATTTTTTCTGACTTTATGCGTTATGCAAGCAAAGATGGTCATCTGGTCAACGACTATTTCAGAGCAAGTGAAACAAATTACAAACAGTTGGACGAAAACTACAATAACTGAAAAATATTCAAAGGGAACGAGATAATCATTTCGAGAATATGAAAGAACATTATAAGGAACCTGCAGATTTTTGGAGGGGACAGAAATAGATATGCCAGTTGAACGAAATCGTAATTAATAAGAAACACAATCATTCTTTCGTGGAAACGAAATCATATATCAAATCAAATAAGCTTTATCTTAAGTCAGTAAGATTAATAACAGATCATACCATTAGATTTTGAAGCGACAAAGATATTCATGCAAGCAACTAATTATGTAAAGAAGATGCAACACATACAGATAAATCACACATAGCACCCCCAGTTTTTGGTGGGGTTCGTGTTGCTTAGTCTTTGGTTTTCTATGTTGTGTCATCTGTACTATTATTTGTCTGTTTGTCTTTTTATTTTTGGCCATGGCGTTGTCAGTTTGTTTTCGATCTATGAGTTTGACTGTCCCTCTTTTATAGCACATTTCAAAATTCCAAGCAAATTTAAAACATGCAAAGCACATGCAAAAAATGCAAAGTACAAAAGCAAATAAGTATAGTCCATAAAGTAAACCACACTAAAACAGACATCAAACATAAGCATTAGATATTATTATGCGTTGTGCTGATAATGTGTTTCAGGCAGAAATGTGTTTAGTGCGTACGAATAATGTTTTTTTATAATATCCAATGTAGAGATCCGTATATTATACTAATATATTAAAAAAAAATAGTGTATTGATTGATTCATTATTAGTTGCTAAACATCCAATTGCAATTTTGCATTCTTGTGCAGAACGCCAGTATTTGATTATCAGATTAAAAGAATACTAATGTATTTTCAGTTTAATTAATAGAACAGATTACGTTGGTTTCTGTCTGTCATATTTGATTTCGTTTATTTTTTTGCAATAATACGGCTTTTGTCTTCTCGTTTGAATTAATTCATAATTTGTCATGTCGGGGCCTTTTATAGCTGATTATATGGCACGAGTTTACCTTTAGTTGCTTAAATCAACCTCAATTGGACTATGGTGGATTGTTGTCTTATTGGAAATCATACCACATCTCCTTATTAACTTAAATGCATACATGCCCGCTGGACTATCTTTTGCAGTCGTTTTCAACCTCTTCCGTGTGTATCATTGTAAGTTCCAAAAAGAAATAATTAGATGGTGTATGGTTACCTATCAGGCACTTATCCACCAAAGATCAATAGACAAAAAATGTTCAGAACTACAGGTTACCGCACGACCTTCAACAAAGAGCTGTATCTATAACGTATAGTTAGCTAAATAAGGCCCTGGGATAGTAAAATGTGATACAATTCAAAAGAGAAAACACACGGCCTAATTTAAGATAACAACATTTACTAGGTCACGAAAACAGTTACTATTGTATATTGTAAACAGGAACCAACGACAACCATTTGACTACAGGCTCCTTACTTGGGAAATGCTCAATCATGTTTTTGAGCGTTCAAACCCCTAACCCTGGACAGTGACATACAATACAAAATAAGAACACTTTATAAAATAATTTGAAAAGGGCTTAATTCATTAGATGGGCCTTTTTAAAAAAAATGTCCATTTTTGACAACTGGAAAATGAAAAAAAAGGTTGAGAAATAAGTGATTTAATTGTACATGTCAATTCTTTAACATCAGTATAAACTAAATACAAAATATTCAACCTTAAACTGAACGGTAAGTTGACAACAACTCTGTAAAAGTGAACATGGTGTACCAAGATGTCCCCTTCGCAACGATTTTTTAAGGCTCTACCATGCTAAAAAATTAGAATTTAAAGGGATTTTTTCTTCAAGAATCTGACAAAATTAATGATTTTATACGGTTATCTTTTTGATTTGCAATTTTAGCCACTAGAAAATATTACAAGCCGTTTTTTAAAATATCCCAAATGTCCAATGCGTAACGATATATGCCTCCTATGAAACGGATTGTGTCCACTACGCAACGGATTATGTCCACTTCGAAACGAAATGTTGCGTAGTGGACCTTTGTGCAATGGACGTATTTACATGTTAGCAGCCATTGTTGATACACGCGGTTTTTCAGATACATGTTTTTATCATTTTTGTCTTTATTTTTTTTGATAAACTCCACGTTTTTTATGATTTGAGGTCAACATTTCTTAAAAAAAGACGTTGCAAAATGGACAAGTAAAAAAGTACGCAATAAGACTTGCCAATTGATTCAATGCAGAAGAACTATATCATCAGCATCGAAAGATGACCGTCATTTTACTAAATGAAGTTTTATTAGTGGCAAATAAAAAGAAAGACTACAATTTGAACACTAGAATGATTATAATTTTGCCTATAATAATTGTTTGTTGTCGTTGCGAAGTGAAACATTGAATAAAGAGCAAAAATGATTAAATTGTATGAAATTTGGAATATTTGAATAAACTTTCAAATGTGGACAGAGCGTTTTTGCTGTTTTTGATCCCTTTGGTCTGATATTTTCAGAGAATCATTACCAAAAAGCAGACAAAAAGTCTTTAATAAATACAATTTATAGACTGAGACAAAAAAAAATATATATATATATATGATTTTATCACAATTTAAGCCCTGGACAGAGAAAGTGGACATTTTTTGAAAAACGCCCAGATGTGTACTAAATACAAAAAATAAGAGTATTCACAGTTGCTAAAAAGCTAATTCAAATCCAAATTTCGACTAATAAATACAGTCATCATGTTTTTGAAAAATCATTCAGTACATCTCCAACTGATTTAGAGTCATAGAAAAGCATAACCTTGTCAACCCTCTTTCATCTCCTGTGAAAGTGGCTTTACAGTACAACGTTAGAAAAAAAATGATTGTGAAGGAATTCACAAACATAGTCGATGGAGAACTTTGTGATACTGAATTATAAAAAAAAAGTCCGTTTGACTTCTATAAATCTTCAGAAAATAATTCTTAAAAATTCATTTTTACAAATAAATTTTTTTTTCTTGATGTATGTTAATGTATGATATATACGAACTCTGACTATAAATATCGTAATTTTAGGCCAATAATCAAAAAAGTTACCCATTAGGTCTCTATGTTACTTCTATTTTTTTTTTATATAAAATATTTTATTGAGTAA